CCTCCCCCCCCCTCCCCGCCCCCCAAAAAAAAAAAAAACTCCGCCGGAAAACCCACTAACCAACACCACTGTTGGAGCCCCTAAAACCCACTGCCATCGAAACCCCAGCCCAATGCATAACATCACCGTTCACCCTTCCCCATACTAAACCCCCTTGGAACCCTCCACAAAAATCACAGTAGAACTAGCCCCACACTGCGCTGGAAAACCCACCAATCCACATCGTTGCTGGAGCCCCTAAAACCCATCGCCATTGGAGCCCCAGCCCAACGCATAACACCACTATTCACCCCTCCCCATACCAAACTCCCTTGGAACCCATCTCGTAGAACCCAGACCCGTGAACTAGAAACCCAGCCTTGTGAACCATAAGCAACTCTACTTCTACCAAAATACCCCTGTAATTCTTTCTCACTATTTCCTCTATGCAACTCTGTGGTGGTTCAATATAATTTGTTTGGAAGGTTATAGTATGCAAAATTAGGGCCTTTTGGGTGATATTTTAGATGTAAAGCTGGTGGTGTAGAGGTGGTCTTGGTGTTTGGCGAATGGCGATGGGTTGTGTAGTGGTGGTGTCGATTCAAGCCATGGGTGTATGGTGGTGGTTGTGGACCTTGTGGTGCAGCAGTGATGATGGTTTAGGGACCAATGTATGTGTGTGATGGTGTGATGGTGGTTGACAAGGTGGGCACGACAATGGATTTGATGTTGTGGTGGCTTTGGGGTGGGTGTGGTCTATGCAAAGGCATTCAGATGACTGTTGAGAAGATGGTTTCAAAATAATTTTTTTTTTTTAATCAAAAAATTATTTAAAACTCATCTAGATTAATTAGGAATTTTATTGAGGAAGTATTATGAATATTTCCCAGTTCACGTAGGAGGACTTTATAGTCATTTTAGAGTTTCCATTATTCATAGAGGATGGACTTCACTAACAAGGGAGGATAGTGTTATTTCCCAAACAAGAAGGGGTCTAGTTGTTATTTGACCAAACCTCAGGGGAGGTGGATCTAATTTATCCATATATATATATATATATATATATAGAGAGAGAGAGAGAGAGGACAGCCAAAGATAGATGGAGAGTGGTGAAGAATCAAAAAGAGAAATTGAACTCACTTAAACAAACCTTAATTTATCTACTTGGGAATGTAAGATGAGATGATACATAAAATTGGTGATCTCAAACTTGTGCATTAAAGACTTATTGTCAATTTTTGTGTTGGTTCTTAATGTCAAGCCATACATAATGAAAAGATAAGTGGAAAAAATTGCATTGAGGGGGGGAAATAGGTTGGTGAAATAGGCCTTTGAATTAGCTGGAAAACTGATCTGGAAACAATGGCCCAGCAAATATTTTACAATTCAACTAATCCCACTAGGGTCCTTTTATTAGGTGGTTAGATTGCATTATAAGACTTGCTGAAGCTCATAATTTTTGGTTCATTGGTTCAACTGGCCAACTGAGCAAAATTTATGATGCTGCTGATTCCAAAATTTTTGAAGCTGATTACAACGAAGTTTAAGATGTAAATCAACCAATAAAAAATACTATGATACCCACATGTAACAAGAACCCACATTGACACACTCCATATACATTGGCTAGAAAGCAAAGAAATTTGTTATGTCCAATAGTTTAACATTTGAAGATAGTTCAAAATATTTTTAAAGTTGGTGAAATTTTAGGATTCAAAAATCGAGTTTAAGAGTCGATTGAAAACTAATTTTTCCCTCTTCTTGAAGTAGCCTTCTCAGACCTTTAAGATCCACCTGCTTGTGAAAGAATACAAATGGTCATATTGAATGTTGGGTTGAAGAAACTTGTTGGTGTTACTTGCTCCTTGGCCACGTGTACACACTATTTGAGGCGGAAAAAATGCATCATGGAAGGTTTAAGCCACCCTAGTTGGAAAGTGTCATGGTAGTCATTGCAAACACCGGGGGGTAGTTATGTGGAGGGCTAACCCGTTTTTTGTAGCCATCATTGCCTATTTTCCTTTGACAAGAAAATAAAAACAGAATACAGAGAAAAGAAAATGAACAAGTCTCAATTTGATGCCAAGACATTAGAAATGCTTGTAGTAGTAGTGGCGAGTCATTTTGGCTTGAAGCTGAATACTCATTCAGAGTCCTAGTTCCCATCTGTCTATTTTTACACATCTTTGGTGATGAGTAATATGCTCGTTTAGTGTAACAATGTTGTTGCTTTTGTTAAGTTGAGTGAATTAACATAACACAATATTAGAGAGAAAGAGAGAGGTAAAAAACTTAATCTAGCTCTCATACATCACTTATATTTATAGTTAACCTACAGTAATAAGAATTACACATACACTCTCTTACTATTAACAATTTACACATATTACCCTATTATTCCTAACACTCTCCCTCATGTTGGACTATATATATCATATAATCCAAGTTTGGAATAAATAGTTGTAAGACATGTACGACTCAATGCTTTGGTAAACATATCTGCAAGCTGATCTTCAGAT